AAATAATAACACATCCTTTGGAGTTCTTTTTGACAAGGCATGGTCTATCCATTTGATCTTTGCGTTGAACAATTTATCTCCTCTTTCGAAACTAGATCTGAGAGTTTATATATTAAAATTTTTTCAAAAGAAGTTTCACTAATGTATCATTATTTGATAAATATTTTAGATTTAATTTAAAATGAAAATATTAGAAATACAATAAATTTTGCTATTATATTATGGTAAATAAAGCTTAAATGATTGGATGAATAAACAAAAGATAGAATGTTGGTGATCTTATGTAGCCTATTTCTCAACATTTGAAGATCATTTACATAAAGTTACATTTAAAGGGGCTTCAGAATACAATTACTCTGTATTTAATCATAAAATTAATTTTTACAAGTAATCCCCAGATAATAAATAACTAGTTATTCTAAATTGAATTGATTTAAACAAAGCATTCAAAATGTATCATCATTATGATCATAAAAAATTTAAAGAAGAATAAATAGAATTATTAATAATAAAAATACATTAATTAATTTAATAAAAATATCAAATTAATTAGAGGTTACTAGGAATATAGATTCTAATAATAAAAAATTCATAAGTTTTGAGTTTAACTTTGGTAAATTAAGAATCCTTTGTTTAATAAAATACAATATTAGGAAAAAAAAATTTTAATAAATAATGGGTTATTTTTGAATAAAAGTTAAATATTGTTAAAAACGATAATCTTCAAGTGATTTAAATTTAATTCTATTTGAATTTTACTTAACCTAAAATAGAAATATCATTCGAAAAACACAGTTTTGGAAGTGAAATAAGAATAAAATAAATCCTTAATAGATCAAGAACAATTTAATGAAAGTAGCTAAAGATTGATGACTATTTCAATAAATATAATCTAATAGAACAATTTTTTATAATGGAAATGATAAAAATTGTTTACTTTTCTAATAAATATTAATCAAATAAAAACATTAAGGAGTATAGAATTAATTTTAATTAATAACAAAAAATGAATAAGGAAGAGTTTCAGTTGAAAATTAATCAAACAGAGTAGATTCTGATTGTATATTTAAGGTTATTAGTTAAATTTAACAAATTCCAATTGAGAAATATTTTGCTAAATAAAGCTAGGTGGATTAACATTAGAAAGTCTTTAAATATTAATGATCATTATATATATATTAAAAATTAAATAATATGAAATTAACAGAATAAAATTAATTGAATAGATTATTAAAACTAGGGGAAAGTAAAAAAAAGCAATGGATGACACAATTTATAGATTAGAAAGTATTGCAAATTAGTTTAGAAATTGATATATATATTTTTTTTTTATTTAATTAATGGATTAAAATATGAATTGCGATCAATAATTACAAAAAGCATATAATCAGATCATATGTAAAACCTTTTAAGATTTCTACATAATGCATTATGCAATTCTGTTCTAGTAATTTATTAATTATAATCGGGTATAAATAAATATTCTGATTTCTAAGATAGGTTTATCCTAATTTCACAAAGCTTGATCACTAGGTTAATAAAAAAATTTTTCTTAATCTATGTCAAATAATTTAGTATCTATCGTCTTATATAGTATTTTCCCTATCTCACATTTTGTTGCTAAACATCCATAATATAATATTCGTCCACTTCTAGGTTGTATTTATTAAATTGCATTTGATAATACTGTTTAAACTGAAACTAATTAATTAGCCTATAGTTTTATAGTTTCTCCAATTTTACTGAATTTTTTGAACATATAATCAATTTTATATTTGTCATTCTCTATATTTAAAATTAATTTCTCTGGGGGAAGTTGTACAATTGCTTCATCAATTCATTACCAACTATTATTTAAGGTTGTCATGTTAAATGTTATAAAAATAAATTTTTGAATCAAACGACTTGAATTGGATCTAAAATTGATTAAAAGCAAGAAAATCATTTAAGAAGACAAACACTTATTATTTTAATTCTATCTAAAATAATCTTAAATTATTTTTATATTGGCCTAAATATTACAGTAATCTTGGAAATAAGGTTCAAAAAATTATAAATTTCATTTTTTTGGTTAAATACTATTTAATTATAAATATAATATTTTCCATTTCATATTTTATTTATAAGCTCATTCCTTATTCTTCTATTTCTCCTTTGAAACTTTAAGATAATTTATAAGAATATAATTAATTAAAATATACAAAATGCCTTTTATTCTACTAATAGGCCAATTTACAACTGTAATGGATTTTCAGAATAACTTCTTTTTCCAAAATTAACTTTCAATCCACATATTTTACCCTTAAATAAATATATATAAGTGATACCCAAAATGCAGGATGGGCATTATCATTAACTATGTGTAATGATACGATTTACACAAAACCCTTTATCTTGATGTCCTTCCGACAATACAATATAGGTTTTAGCATGATCTTTCTCATATCCAAAGTAATCAAATGTCGATTAGTGTTTGTTGACATCAAATATATGAGAAACTGGTTCGAAAGAAGTGACTTTTATGGAACTACTATTTTAAAAATCATTTATTAAACTTTCCAGAACTTAGGAATATTGTTGGATCAAAAAACAAACTATTAACCTAATTCTCTTACTCCTAGAAAAAAATGTGCATATCCAATTAGCACCTAATGAGTAACATCTAATGTTAGAGGATTGCCTTATATTGTTCTTTAAACGATATCATTCCATAAAATATTCATTTTAAGAACAGTCTAAACATATGTCCATTCTCTTTCAATACTATCATATGGTAATTAACCATCAACAGCATTAACTGGTTTAGATGTATCATAAGTAATGAATTCATAACTACTTTTTGTAAGGAAAGTTGATAATATCTTATTTTCTAAGTCACTTTTATCTTGATATTATCTTGTACTTGAGAACCTGAATATACTAAGTATAATATATATCTGATCTACTACTTAAAGTTTTAGAAATGCAATAAGCAATCTTATCCAAACACCTTTAACATATTCATCAACTGATTCTGTTTCTACGATCCTCTTTTATATAACATTGATATTTTTTATTTATCTAAATAAGTTCCTAGAATTCCTGAAAAATTACAGGTTTGTCTTCTGAAAATAGATATATTAATGTTAATAGCTTCTCTTAAACTTTGATTATAAACTATATAAATGTAGGACTAAACCTTTTTGAAACATTCATCTTCTAAGAATTTAGCTTCATTCCAGTCCCTAAGTATGTAAGTACTCAGTTTAATTGTATCACTTATATATATTTAAGCATATATTCTCTATTTCCTTATATTTTACGATCGCTAAAATATTCTTTGTGATTATGAGTAATTCTAATTAATATTTGACATGGTGATTTTATTTCTCCTTCTTTTTTAATCTATGTTTCTGCAATCTTAAACCAACATTTCGATATTCCACTCCAATTATTTCCAGTCCTTTCATTACCTTCATTATTAGCACCTTCTCCTATCAATTATTATTATCCATATTTCTGCTTATGAATATATTCTATTGCCAATAGTTAAGGTAATGCAAAACTAGTATCAACTGATTTTAATAGCTCTTCTAACATTATTTATTAAAGATTCCACTCCTAAATGAGCAGCAATGTTTAATGTTTAATAAATAACTCAAATCAGTTCTGTTCTATTTAAATCCCATCCGACCATCCTCTCTCTTTCTTTTTCTTAAAAAACTCCCTTAGACTTTTTGTCATTTCTCTAATCTTATTCGACACATATTTCATATCCTAATTCATATTAGCCGCGTACCTTTTAACAAACTTTGATGGTGCCAGTACCCAATTATTTAACTTATCAAGAGTTTTAATCCATTCTATTCCTTGGGTAACCATGTTACCAGAAGTTCTATTACGTGCTATCCATCAAACCACATATTCTTATGCTACTTATATTTTACATTCGAATGCCTCCACTATTAAAAATATCTATAATTTGATATCTTCCTGATTCTGTTGGTATATATTCTTTCGTGTTCTGTCTTCTTCTATTTTAATAACATTTCTTTATGAATGTCTTCATATTATCTCATATTGTTGTCTAATTTTTATAGCATTCTTTATTTCTTTTGTATTAAAGCCATTATTTCTGAGTAAAATGGATCTCTATTTAATCCCGAATCCTCTTACATAGAAATTCTTAATCCTCTTCTCTTAATATCAGGTTCATAAGCAGCAATTCTGTTAATAAACCTTGGAAAAGAGAAAAATCTTTTTCTCCTCCCAAAAATCAAATAAACATAACCACTCATTTAAATTATATTTATCTCATGCTTCATCAAACACAAAATAATTTGATTATTATTTTAATCTTTCATATCCAACATATATATAGGGCCATATACCTTACAAATGAGAATAAGTATTTTGATAATTTCATTTGGAGCCTCGTCATTTAAATCATAAGTGTCAAATAAATAATTAAGTTAGCCTATATATTTTTATTTCAGATGGTGTATGCCATTATCTTTCCGATCAAGCTTATAAGTATCCTGCCAATAAATCAACAGCATAACCTTAAACATTTTCTATCTTTCTGTTTCGTTCAGCAAATGTAATTTTTTATCATAGCTTATGAATATTGCTTGATATCATGGTTATTTTATCACTTTCTTCCCAATCAAATTTTATTCTGAACAAATATTTTTTAGGCTATCAAATAAATTTATAGGGTATTGAAATTGACTTCTCTGTAGCTGCCATCACCAATATTTAAGTTATTTAAACAAGTCTATAGGCATCTTTTATCAAAAATAGCTAATAATTTATGAAACTGCAGGTTATGCTAATTCTAAACCTTTCTGCTCATCTTCATCAATTTATGAAATACGCATAATCCATTTACCTTCTGATTCAATGTAATAAGGGATGTCTCCAGCAATAATATTTGATTTAGTGATTACATAATAGGCTCCAATATGATATGAGAATTTGCCTAATAATACTGATAATATTAAAAGCACTTTATATCACATGGTAAGAAAGTATTTATAGTCTTTATTACTAATTAATGTATTCATTCTCATCAATGGAGATCTTCTGGAAACTGTATTTTTATTTGCAAATTATTCGAATTTGACACTATAACATTTAATCTAAAATATTTTCTTCATGATGAGCATCTTATCCAACTTATTACTAATGAAACCAAAATGAACCTTTATGTTTCCATTTTCATCAAATCCTCCTTCCAAAAAGGCACCATCTCCAACTTTAATAACCCATGTCTTTATTTACCCTATTAATTAAGTAAACTGTTATTTTCTTAAATAAAAACTGAAAAAGTCTTAAATAAAAATAATTATTTTTACAATATTTATTTTGAATCAGGTTGAATTAAGCATTTTCTGAAAGAGTATAGTAAATAAATAGCTTAAAAGTTAGAAAAGAAGGAATAAATGAAAACGGAATTTTTGCCATTTCTCCATTAAATAATGGAGTCGTGCCTTTGTCATTATATCTTATTATTTTATCAACAAGGTTTTCTACAAATCTTGCAAAGTTTATACTCTAACCAGTATAAGTCACTGGCTTATCAACCTAATATACAGACATAACTCAATCTCCATAATTAAATATCATGGCAAAATCTAATCTTTCAAATTGAGTTTCACCTTAATGTCCTGGTTTTATTTCAGCACTATTAGCTAATACACCATCATTCTCAAAAACAAAATATACATAAGAGATTGATAGATATGGTTATCCTTTTGCTATGTTTCCTTTTATTTGTAATTGTGCAAGTATTAAAATAAACATTTCACTTCCAAAATTATGATGCAATTCTAATGCCTTATCTACCAATTCTCCTTTTCCTGGAAACTTATTTTTGTTTAATCTCAATGATCTCAAATTCAATATTGAAAAAGTATTTGGTTTATCTACTTTAACATTGTCAATCTGTCTCAGCCATAATTATATATCGTATTCCTCAACAATCAATTATTATTCTTATAGATCAAAAAGAAATGATTGGCTCTTGTCATTACCCTCAAAACTTTTAAGAATATATAAAATATCTATAGCAGCAGGTGCCTTTTAAGGTGGGTTACTCAATATTTTAAGCATTTCATCTAATCAATTAACAATATCATCGATATTCTTATTTAATATTATAGCTTTATCTTTAGTTTTAAGTTTGCCACTCAAATGATTTATCATATTCAAAAACAGTAAGAGCTCTGTCGTCAAAAAATGTAAAGTCCTCTTATTCTTCATTAATAGTCATTCTAATAGCAAATAGTACTCTCCTTATTGTCTACTATGCTCTTTGGTACAATTTTCAGCACTCATCCAACATCCATAGCCTTTTTTAGAAGTATCTTATTATAATGAACTATCAGTAAATTCAAACTAATTTGTTGTTTTCAGAGTTTTTATATTTATATTCACAGCCACAATCTTTATTTCTTAAACTCTACTAATACTAGCTTTATGTTTTTATGGTTGGAATGAAGTCCGCTCATTTGTATCAAATCTTCTCTTAATGATTATATATTCAAAGACGGTTTATTAAATACTACTTGCAAAATTTTATCTAAATCTCATTCTTCAAAATTATATATAGTTTCTTCAGGTATTTCGTCATAATAAATAAACTTTTTTTTTTAATCCGAATCATTATCATAAATGATTTTTTAATCTCTTATATACATTCTTTTTTTTATGTATTAAGTTAAGCAACTTTTTATCTCAAATTTATAGTTTTCTTACCATATTAACCATCGACTCAAATACAGATATATTTCTTCTAAAGTTCTTCTCAAATGAGAAATTATTTAATTTGCCTACCATTTATCTTCTTATTTATATAATTGAAAGTATGAAGAAAAATTAATATACATTTAATAATATTAAAAATTTTCTATAAGCTATATTTCAGGATTTATTTAGTATGATGGAACAAGTCAATTATAAGAATAGAGAATTTACACAAAAAATGAAAAATAGAGATGTGGTTAAAACAGAATGAGAAATAAATTCAGAAAAACAGATTACATTTTCATTAATTATAAAAAGGTGATAAAGAGTATATGCAAATCAAGTAAAATAGAGATAGATGATTTAAAACAATCAGGAAAACTGGTAAAATTAATATTCAGAGAATTATTTAAAGTATGGCTTAAAAGATATTTCTTGAAAAATGAGATCCTTTATATCAAAATTAAAAAACTAAACTTAATGATTTTAATTGATTAAGAAATTTCAGAAGAAAATCAGGAGTTGATATGATTAAGTGTAGTAATATATAACTTGATATATTTGATCTTAAGTGATTTTTCATAATATCTGAAAATAGCAAAGATCTCGTATGAAAAATTTTCAAGGTAATTTCATTATCATGAACTTGATCATTTTCTATTTCTTTGTTGACAATTGATAAAAATGTATAGCAATTTACAAAGTTAGTAATATATTAATCATATAAAAGTCTAATTACATTTACCATATAACATTATATGTCAATTCCATAAAACCAGAAGAAAAAATCTTCACTAATATGGAAAAAAAAATGAAGGCGATTCAGCTTTTATTTCTACAATATGGACAATTTTAATATCTACCTCACACTGTCAAACATTTCAAATAGGTATAAATGTTAATATATCAAATTATTTAAACTTGAAGTATAAAAAATGAAAACCTTAAACTTAGTTTTGCAAAGAAAATATTTAATTATAAAAATTTATTTTACTAAACATATTATTAGAATTTCATTTTTAGAAATTATTTATTTGGAGTTTACCATAGCTTCTAGAATTATTTTTTCAATTATTTATATTCTTGTATTCTAAATATAAATTATTAGTGTAATCTAAAATATAAATTTATTGAATTAGGATTAAGATAGATAAATTAAAGATTAGATTAATGAGATAAATATAAAGGCATGGAAGAAAAGGAAGGTTGAAATTAGGTTTTCTATCTAGATAATTAGATAATATTAATTCGAAACATTGCCCTATTGTTACAACAAATTTCAAAACATTTAAAATTATTCTTTCATCATTTTCAAAATCAACTTAAAATAACTTAATAATAAATAAGATCATTTTGAATATTCTTTCTTTATTAGTGCCTTCAATGTTATAAATAAAACATATTTGAAGTATTTATTTTGTAGGAATATCATAAATATTTGGATTAGTTTCAATAAATTTATTATTCTTAGAAACCCAAAAATAATGTTGTATCATATTATAAATATTGACATTCACCTTCCAAAAGATCTTAATTTTCTAAAGGAATATAAGAAGTTTCAGATGTAATTTAAGGATTTTTATTCCATTTACATTTGTATAAATATTATTAACATATTAATTTATCTTAATTAAAATGATAACAATCCATTACTTTTATATATTAATTAACATTCCAAATGCAAATTCTAACAAACCCATATAATTATATGAAAATTAATTCTCATTATTAGCACATACTTCAATAGTTGTACATAATACAATCAGAAATAAAATAAACATTTTTTATTTATTTTAGACAAGTCTCATGAATATAACTATAAGATATATCATTACCGAAAATAGTTTTAATTGTTTAATCAATATATTTTTCATTATTAGTTTAAGCATATAGATAAGTTTATTCATTATAATATTCTTCACTTGATTTAATAGTAGCACCTTTTACCAGAAGTACATCCATATAATTAAGCATTAAAAACTTTATGTATATCTATAACTAAATGTTTGCATTATTCATTTCTACATTCAATATGATTTGTATCCCAAATACAATTTCCAGTTTGAATTGTATATTCTTAGTTCTATTTTTATTTAATCATTTTCTCATTAAAACCTATTCTACCTATTCTAAATTATTCCTGCAATTTATAAGAGGAACATAATAATAATGAAATACATTCATTTTTTGTATCTTTTGTACAGTTGAAGATGTTTAATAGCATTCTTAAGGATTCAAGTATGATCAATAATAACATGAAAAGTATCTCTTAAAATGCCTTAACCATCTCTTTAAATACAATCTCCGTCTAAACCAATAACAAATGCTTATTTATATTTTATAATCACTACATTTAATTAATCCTACACCTTTCTCTTTAGTTAAAGGATTTAAATATTTAATTATATGCTATAAACAGGACATTTTGATGATATTCCTAAAATATCATCACAAAGTTATTTTCTACAAATTAAAATTTATTATCATTATTGTATTACATGCTGCTTAGAATTATGCATTTTCATATGTTGATTTCTAAATAAAACCACTACTATTTTTTTTAAATCTCTTTTAGTTTCATTATATTCAGGAGATATACACAAGAATATCATGAAATCCATTAACATCCATAAAAATTAATATATCTGTATTATATGCCACTTCAAAATGGACATGAGAACATAATTTCCCATTTCTAAAAATATGTCCATCAGATGTACAGTTAGAATTGTAGTTGTTAAATTCTTCTTTAGTTTTAGACATTAAATAACTATATCTTTATCATCTTCAATAAATGTAATCAGTATAACAAAATGGATAGTGTTTTTCACATAATTAAGCAGTTATTGCAGTATCTGCATTTTAACCAGATCTAATTTCACACTAATTAGTTTTAAGATTCCAATAACATATTTAATATTTAATTGGAATAAAGCATTATTTCTAAGTTTAATATTATTCACAATAAATATTTTTAAATTAACAATCATTTCCTAAAGCAACTGTAGTACATTCATGAAGATAAATTCACATTCAATATCCTAAGTATATGATTTTGGATCAGTCTTGACTTATTCAATATCTGATATTATCAAATAGTAAATATTAATTATAAAATTTTTTTTTTTTGTTATAATTTGTACAATTTTAATAAGGGATACAATCGCTGAATCTATTTCAGTATCTCGCCAAGATAAGCTTAATATTCTATATGATTATCTCTTATACTATCATATGCTGCAGTATAACAAGATTTAATATAAAATCTTGATTAGAATCAACTACGAATGATAATCGTGCAGATTATTTACCATCCATTCAATGTCATACAACCTCTATTTTATTTTCTGTAAAAACATGTAAAAAATCATTACATTAAATAGGTGTTATAAAACTAGTTGGAGCATTTTAACTAAAACATAAGCACATTTATATATATCAACATTCCAAAATAAGAAGCATTTTTAAAACAATGAGATTCTTATTGATAATCAGATAAATTAATAGCCTTAGTGATACATTTACCAATTCTAGCAACTGTGCAAATAAACAAAAATGTTTTGCAATTTGTATTATCATTTTATATTCCAGATGCATCTTCACAAACTCTATCGTTAAATTAAGTATAGTCTTAATTAGTCTTAATTAGAAATCATAAAAAATTGTTTTGGTTTAATTTACACAACTAACACGAATCCATCAATTATACATGTTGATAACCAAGTTTTAAAATAATAAGTGTACATCAGTATGTTTAGTGCATGTTCTATTTTCACATTATTCTAATAGCCATGTAAAATTAACTAAATTAATATTTGGTTTATTACACAATTATTTGGAGATGCACCTGATTAACTATACATGTTGATAACCAATATTTACAATCAATATGTGTAAATGTAGTTTCGTAGTTTCTGTATAATTACTACAAGTTCTTCTTAAAATAGTACTATTAAACTAAGCATATTAATAATTATAATGTTAATTGGATAATAACAATTTTAATTGTAACAATTATTATGATTAAATTTAGTAAATAAAGCTCCTTGATTAGTACATGTTTTAGGTTAACATGCTTTTAATCCTCAATTAAAAGTTATGTAGATAACCAAAATTAATAATTATTATGATTAAAATTTTAACTTAAGTTCCATATTTAGTAAATGTTTTTTTTGTAATATAAGATTTACCAATATTACATATTGTACAAGAATATATACAATTTGAAAAATTTATATGATTTAAAGTATAAGCCATGATTAATATAAGTCTTATGTTCACAGTTAATACCTGAACAATAATTAAACTAACTACTATAATTTGAACTATTGAAGCTAAAATCAAAAGGATAATTTGTATAATATTTAATTTTTTTAGTTGAATTACGAGTACAATAAGGCAACCAAATTTAAGCGTATAAGAATACATTATTTAATTTGTTCTAAAAAGGATAATAATTAAAATAACTAAATAATTTCTAGCACTTATAAATTTGATAGCTTAATAGTAATGAGTGCAATAGGGCATAGTTATTTTAATATATATATATATTTAATTAAATTTCCACTGTAACCAACCCTCATTAAGATTCAATTTATAGCTCCTGAAAAATTATCACATTTGTTATTATCACAATCAGAATTTATTAATTATTCAAATTATAAAAAATAGTTGAGATAATCCTATAGATTTAGAATTTGTTCATGTTTAGTTGTTACAAGTACTTTCACTTTTTTAAAATGTACATTATTTTAACACAGATTAGCAATTTGAATGTAATAGGCTATTTACATTTGAACAATGATTTGTACAAGTTTTATCAATTCAACATGTAGTAAGCCAACCTAAACAATAGGTTCAATAACTTAAATGAACTTGTTATTGCACCATTATTAGTACCTTTAAGTCACAACAATTTAGCATTTGCATTTTTTTTAGGAATAATTAGCAATTATTTGTGTGTTTGTTGATGTCATAACATGATTAAATATGATTTATAAATTTATTCAGTATTTCCACTTACATAATGAAGGCCATTATTCGCAATTAACATGGTTAAAGATTTTATTGTTTTTTCAATAATCACTGCATGTTCTTTATGAATGAGCTTTAAAATAACGATTCAGAACATTAAAATATTGAACTTTTACTTGTTTATCACAATAACCAAAATAATAGATTGGTTTACAGGAATTTAGATAACAATTATCAGTTTTATAGATTTATTATTTATTTTTGATCAATTTAATTAGGTCTGGAGAACTTCAAAAAATTGATGAGGTATATCTATTGTGTACTTAATTAATTAGAGAATTTACTAATGATATTTCTAAATGATATGAAAGAAGCATTACTTTAAAGCTTCAAAAATAATTTTTTTGGTTAATTCTGATAATTTATTATAAAATAAACGTATAATTAAATGTGTATTCACAATACATAAATAATTCGAAGATCCACGCTCTATATCCGTTCCTTAACTTGGGTGATGTGTATATATTTTAAGTTCATAGATTATTTGAATTGTAACAAATTTTCTGTTCAGGGTATACCTGCATCATTATTAATGTATGTTGATAACTAATAATTAAAAATTCAAGTTTTTAGTGAACACTTAATACTATCAGAAATATTATGGATTCCTTGCTTCGCAATTTGCATGATTAAATACTGAAAAATGTAAAACATTGTCAAAACAATTAGTTGTACAAAAAATCATTAATAGATTTCAAAGTCCAACCCTCAGACCATTTGTTACAATTACTTTCCGTAAATGTTATTGATGTGATAGCATTTAAACTAATTTTAAATAACATCCATTATAAAAAGAATTAATAGTATATATAAAATATTATATTAAGACTCAACATCTACATGACTATGCTTCACAATTAGGCTTAATTTACAAGTTCCTGAAAAAGTTGTACAGTTTTTTTCAACACATATTTCATTGAAACTATCATATTTACAACTTGATAGAAAGTATCACAAATTAGACTAAGTATTTCTAGTTTCGATAATAGCAGTATAAATTTCACATAATTTAGTTGTATCATCTGTATTATTTGATTTTCTTGTATTAGATAAATTAGGACAAATACATAAGCAATTAATAAAATTAGAATGTGTAAAACTTTTTATGTTTTATCCATAATTATAACAAGTTTTATCAATAAAACCATCATTATTCTGAAGTTGTGTAAGTAAATTCATAAACCAATTAACAAAATTATTATTATTAATGATGTTAAATCAGTTAAATTACATGTTCTTATAGATATGCATCCAGGAGTATCAGAATTAACAGTAAATGTATTTATCCATTAAGAACAAGTATTTTTATTAGCATTCGCTCATGTGTTTTGTTAACAACTTAATTCATCTGCAGAATACAGTATAAAGATAATTCCAGTCATTATAATTGGTATCATTAAAATCTGTTATTGAATGAATATACCATGTCTTTAAAAGATAACTAGACCTGATATTGTATATTCATCCCTCAAAGTAGTATAATTATTAAG